AAACTTGTTGTCAACGCTTCCCCGCGATTTTTATTAATAAAATAGCCTAGATACTAGATCGCTACGCTATATTCCTCAGCAACGATGGTAAAATGGCTGTTTTTGAAGTAATTGTTTGTAGAGAGAGACGCGCAGACACAGCACGCAGGTACACACAACTATCATCTCTCTCTCGCGATAATTAATTGAAATGCATGCTATAATTCATTCAAATAAATGTGGTCTTACCGCAATATTTCATCTCTGTGTATGATTTGAAGCGGGCAGAATGCTAGCGCTAACGTGCCGTAACTGACGAAAATAAGTCATTTTTACGCATTCGGTCAAATATTGTGATGCAAAGAGCAATACTAGTTTTAACTTGTCTATAACTTGGCAAATGACCATGGAATAAGCGGGATAATCAACAGCTAGCCGTGCATTAAAGGATTTTAAATGCACGACGTGGAGGCTAAGAACCGCCCGACGCGAAACAGATTTTTTTCCTCTTAAAATAGCTGTTCTTTATCTGTCTGCATATTCAGTTTGTATAAGTCATACAGTTGGAAATGAATTTCCTTTCAAAATGTCAAAGTTGAACTTAAAACTCTAGACTTACTTCTGACATTCATCCAGAGTGAGGACGTGTGGGTGGTCCTCCTCAGACAGGGAGACCACTGTGTCTCTGTTGAAAGTGTTTGGTCTGGTCTGGTCGATGCTGTGGCGGGTGATGGTGGCTGTGGTGGAGCTCGTCCAGTACAGGACGTCCCATCCTCGGTGGTACGCCAGTCCCTCCACAGAACCAACATCTAGAGAAGGAAACACAACGTCAATGCTAATCTCTCAAGTACTCTCAAATAGCGTACAGTGACCTACAACACACACTTTAAACACGCTACACTTTAAAGCCTGAAATAAAGCACACATACTTTTATCTTGTTTCAAACCTTCTATCAATAATATAAGATATAAAAAGCATTGAAGCCCACAAACGCAAGCAGTTGAACTGAAGGCCATAAAACCAGATGGCAGGCAAACACCTCCACAGGTTCTTTCACAAGTGATTCAAAAAGAAGAAAAAGCAGACAGATGGTCAATGTGAAAAACAGCTAGGTGTCAGAAAAGGTCAAGATGTGTTGTGGAAATCTACGTCAATACTAAATCGAAACCTTTAAAAAAGAAAAATACGCCTTTTAGCTCTTAAAAACACTGCACTTAAGAAGAACTGCTGGATTGTATATACAATTCCTTTTTTAATTAAAAAATTAAATTAAAAAAAATATATAATGAGTTCATATTTTACCACATTTAATAATATTTTTTGTATATTATAATAGTCCAATAGCATTTTAGTTCCAAGTTAAAATAAAACAAAACTAGAAGCAAAAACAGAATGAAAAATAAAGCTGAAACTTTAAAAATGGTCAAATAATGACATTAGAATAGTTTTCCAAATGAAAAATAAAAATTGTAAGAGAAAAATTTAACCTAAGACAAATAAATAAACAAACATTTAAAATAGTTTATTTAATTTAAGTATATAAATGCAATTAAATGTAACAATAAAATAAAAAAGCAATCTGTTATAAAATATGATGTTTCATATAATATAATATTACAACAGCACTTCAGTTCCATGTTAAAATGAAAAAAGAAAAGAAAATATAAAAGATTTAAGATACATTTGTGACTAAATCTAAGTAATATTTAGAGGAAAAATCACTTCTCAGAATTATTATTAGAATATTTCCTAAAATCAATAATAAAAAAAAAGGATTTGCAAAACAGAAAAGTTCAAGTTCTTTAAAGTATGTTCATTTATGCACTCAGTACTTGGTCGGAGCTCCTTTAGCACAATCTACAGCATCAGTGAGATGTGGCATGGAAGCGATCAGCCTGTGGCACTGCTGAAGCACTATTGAGCCTTCAGCTCGTCTGTATTGTTGAATCGACTGTTTCTCATCTTTCTCTTGAAAATATGCCATAGATTCCATATGGGGTTCAGGTCAGGCATGTTGACTGGCCAATCAAGCACAGTAATATCATGGTCAGCAAACCACTTGGGAGTGGTTTCGGCACTGTGGGCAGGTGCTAAGTCCTGCTGGAAAAGGAAATCAGCATCTCCATAAAGCTTGTCAGCAGATGAAAGCATAACGTGCTCCAAAATCAACTGGTAGATGGCTGCATTGACTTTAGACTTGATAAAACACAATGGACCAACACCAGCAGATGTCACGGCACCCCAAATCATCACTGACTTCAGAAACTTCACACTGGACTTCAAGCAGCTTGAATTCTGTGCCTCTCCAGTCTTCCTCCAGAATCTAGACCTTAATGAATCTAGAATATATGTAAGTTTCACTTTTTGAAATAAGTTACAAAAAAAATTGACTTTTTCACGATATTCGAATTTTTTTAGATGCACCTATATATATATATATATATATATATTACATTTACATTTTTAAATGTTTTCCTTTGAAACAACACAATGCAACCATATCATGTACAACTCGACACAAAGTTCATCGCATTTTTATAGTCTGCTTGGGCCTTTTTGTGAAAAACAAAATCATGCACTGATCAAACGATTATTCAGTCTTTTTGATGTTGCAATTGCATAACGCATGGGACAAAAACTATTTTTTTGAGTTTATCACACTGCAATCTGAGCAGCATGTTTTAAGAAGCCCTGAAGAAATGCTTCACTTTTTTGGGGGGATGTGGTTCCTCATCCTCAAAACCCCCATAGAGCCTGACAGGGAAAGTGAATGGCACTGAATAGGACATGCAGGCTCTGCTAGATTACTTGCAGTGAACATAAGGATTTTACATGCGTAAAGCAGGACGCCGACTGCGCTGCAAACAGGACAATACGACACCGGCTATTCAGAACCAGTACAGTAAATTATTTAGACTATTTGCCATTAACTGTATAGGAAAGAAAAATCTCAAATATAGTCAAGTGTATATCACAACTGTTTCTCCAAGACAGCAAAGAGATGCAATGAAGAGCAAACTGACACTTAATCTCCTGTCCTGCTCTTCTAAAAAAAAAAAAAAGAAAGAAAAGAAAAAAAGTGTAATCTCATATATTTCCTCTGAAGCTCCACAAGAGAGCTCAGCAAACTTTGTTTCAAAGTGTTTGCAGATTTGCTAACATCTGCTATCCATCATGTGTCGCAAACACTGCAAGTCAGCGTAAATTGCCTTTTGCATCCAATTTAAAGGGTTAGTTCACCCAAAAATGAAATTTAGCTTGTGTTTTACTCATCCTCGAGGCATCCAACACAGGCTAATTTTCATTTTTGGGTGAACTATCCCTTTAACATCTGTACTGTCAAGTTTTAGGATTAAAACAGATATTTAATGGGCAGTGTTCAATATTAGTCATCAAAAATAGTACTGTAATAGTAAAAAGTAAGCATTTGCAATCAACGAATCAATAAAAGAATGAATAAATAAATACATTTCTACTTCAAAATAGTTATAAATATAACAAGCATTTTTAATATGTCTATTACACACACACTTTATTTTATTTCCATTTTATTTTTTTTTATTTTTTTTAAGATTTAGTAACAAGTTTTAGTGTTTTGCTTTTTTAATATATGTGACCCTGGACCACAAAACCAGTCTTAAGTCACTGGGGTATATTTGTAACAATAGCCAATAATACATTGTATGGGTCAAAATGATTGATTTTTCTTTTATGCCAAAAATCATTAGGATATTATTATGTTCCATGAAGAAATTTTGTAAATTCCCTACCGTAAGTATGTTTTGATTTTGATTAGTAATATGCATTGCTAAGATCTTCATTTGGACAACTTTAAAGGCGATTTTCTCAATATTTTGATTTTTTTGCACCATCAGATTCCAGATTTTCAAATAGTTGTTTCTCAGCTAAATATTGTTCTATCCTAACAAACCATACATCAGTAGAAAGCTTATTTATTCAGCTTTCAGATGGTTTATAAATCTCAATTTAAAAAAATTTACGCTTATGACTGGTTTTGTGGTCCAGGGTCACATATGTTTATAGTTTAAGGTTTTAGTTCACTTAGTTTTACTTATTTGAGTACTCCAACTTTAAACAAAAATGAGAAATCCTATCCTGTTTATACAGTATATTATTGTATAAATATACAATTTAAACATACATTACTTTTTTATGAATTCACCATTCACAATAAAATAATGATTATGTCAAGGATAATCAAAGGCTTGCCGTGCATGCTGTGTCTGCGCGTCTCTCTCTACAAACAATGAATTACTTCAAAAACAGCGATTTTACCAACTCGTTGCTGAGAAATATAAGGTAGCGATCTAGTATCTAGGCTATTTTATTAATAAAAATTGTAGGGAATCGTTGACAACAAGTTTATGCCGCGCATCTGCGACCCCCCTCCCCCTCTCTCTCTCCCTCTCCGTGTTTGTATGCGAGCGATGTGTGTTGGTTAGTGTGCATCAATTAAAGCAGCGCATTAACATAGAACGGTGTTTAAACTGACTTGAAAATGCCTGTGCATTAAACGGTTTTACTGCATGCCTGCCAGCCAATCAGAATCCAGTATTCAGACAGACCATGGAATAAATGAATAAAATTAATATATGTTAGCGTTTTGGCCAATAAACATGAGCAGATCATTATTTTTATGTTATGGTCGATATCGATATCCAAAAAAATGGCAGATGGCAGATTCTTACATATATTCTACACAGATGCAAACTATTAAAAATAATAATAACCAAAGTAAAATAAAATAAAAATCACAGCAGGCACAATATTGTAATGTACAGTGTGAAAAATGGATATCCATTTTCAGATTTGTTAAATATTACATTAAAGATTAAATCCAAAGTTCTGCCATGAAACTCTATGGTGCAGGCCGATAGGTTCTAACTTAATCTGATATAATTACATCATTTACATTTACATTTAGTCATTTAGCTGGTGCTTGTATCCAAAGCGACTTACAAATGAGGACAATGGAAGCAATCAAAATCAACAAAAGAGCAATATGCAAGTGCTATAACAAGTCTCCGTTAGCCTAACGCAACACAGCAAGGTTTTTTTTTATTTTTTTTATTATATAATAAATTAAAGGAAACAGATAGAATAGAAAAAGAATAGAGCAAGCTAGTGTTAGAGGCCTTGTTTTGCTTTTTGTTTGTATAATAAATAAAATAAAACAAATAGATGAAATACAAAAAGAATAGAGAAGCAATTTTTTAAAGAAAACATGCAGTTAGTAAATTCAACTCAGTACAAGTCTAAAATGGGCAAGTTTTTTTTTTTTTTTAATGACATCATTCACATGGCCCAGCTGATTGGTTACTTTTCACTACAGCAGCCAATGAGCTTGCTGCTCTACATTGAAATACTTGGTTAGTGCTTGCTGTACTAGTTACAGTGCGCTTCAGAAACCCTCCACCTCCCCCAGCTCCACCTGTATAGATCTATATGGGGTAATTTCATGTGTGTTATATATGGGGATTATTTCATATATGTTATATGTGCAGCAGCAGTATTTCCTACATGCTCACAGCAGCATGTCTGTGGATGTATTGGCAAAAGCAAGTCTTGGTAGCGTAGCAGATCTATTCCACCAAGACCAAACACATTAACATTGCCATGTATACTACCATGCTAAACTCTCTGATAGTTTTCATGACAGAAATATGAGTGTTAAATGAGACCAATGGAATTCTAAAATGCAAAAACCAGGGGAAATAAGTATCCAACAATAAATATACAATTTTGATCTAAATAAATAAATACATACTAAACCCAATATGATGCCAA